ATTACCTTCTATATTTGCAACAATGTTTCTTAGAGAGCAGCTCAGAGCCCAGCAGCGGCAGGCGGGGAACATTGGCTTCCTCCGTCACTGGAGCAAGCAAGCCTCTTTTTCACTTCAGGGGCCTGGCTGCCAGCCGCCATCTTGGTTGGCAGTTAATTTGCATATCTTGCTGATTAGCCAATGGGAAGGGTAGCGAAGTTATGGCTAATTACCATGTTTCTCTATTATTAGATAGGATAATCATGTACAACAAAACCCCAAAGTAAATTAATTAAATACAAAATAAGCAAAACAATAAGACTGAAGTGAGAAACAAATAATTCAACAATAATGGTTGCAAGGTTTCAGTGTATAGGACTACTAGGCAGAAGATCAATAAGGAAATGGAAGAGTTAAACAAGACCGTAACTAGGCCTGACAGACTTCACCCAACAACAGAACATACATTCTTTCCAAGCACATATTGAACATTTTCCAGGATAGCCATATGCTATGTCATAAAACAAGTCTCAATAGATTAAAAGGATTAGATATTAGAACGTGTGTTCCAACCACAGTGGAATGAAAGTAAAAATCAATAACAGAAGGAAATTTGGGAAATTCATGAATAACCAATGGGTCAAAGAAGATATAAGTGATAATACAAAATATGAATGAAAATAAACACACAACATATCAAAACTTCAAGGATGCAGTGAAAGAACTGAAATTGTGTACCTGTAAATGCCTATATTAAAAGAACTGTCAACAGACTTTATGACAGACTAAATGCTTTCCTCCTAAAATCATAAACAAGACAGGATGTCCACTCTCACCACTTCTATTCAATACTGTATTGGAGTTTTAGTTAGAGCAATGAGGTAAGACAAAGAAATAAAAGGTATCCAGATTGCAAAGAAAAGAGTAAAACTATCTTAATTTCTTAATAACATTACCGTGTATATAGAAAATCCTAAGGAATCCAATAAAAAACTATTACAATTAAACAACGAGTTCAGCAAGGTTGTAGTATTCCAGATTGATTTATAAAAATATGGGCAAAGATTAGTGATTTGTGCCTCAGATTTAGGGGGAGGAGTCTCTTTATGGCAACCCTCCCAATCAAAAGCCTCCTTTATCTTAAGCTGGAATCTGCTGCCCTACTAACGTCTCCTGAAGTGACACACACTGATCTGTTTCATGGATCTCTTTAATTATTTAAAGACAGTTATAATGTTCTACTCCTTTCCTGGTCACCCTTTTCATTTTCCTTATGTGACATGATTTAAACCCTCTTTTGCCCCCCTGGTTTCCACCTCCTACTCTTAGATAGAGTAAAAATTTATTTTTCCCAACAGAAATTTAAAAATAAATATAATATTTCATTGTCAAGTACAAATAACATTTTGGTCTCAATATTTTTTTTGGTACCTTATGATTATATTAGGTTGTTTAGAAATCATTCCATGTTCTACATGAGTTATAATGAACTTATGGTGCTTGAATAAACACCTGTCTTTCATAGGACATTGCCAAGTTCAATTTGCATTTCTGGACCCAAGACATATGTATTTATTGCAACCTTATTTGGGTCAGTCCATAGAGCTAGTGTCTTTTTATCTCCTTTAAGTTTTCTTCTCTAACATAGAAAATGCCCTTTCTTTCTAACATAAGCTTACCTTCTGTGTCAGTGATGAGAACTGTGAATAGCCAATTCCAAGAACAGAGAGCTATGACAAACCATTAGCTACTTTTCTTCAATATGATATCTTCAATTATAATTACTACCTCTTGTGCATAATTTGTTTAAATTAGTTAGAAATCTACCTAACAATGCTATATTCGTATAAGCTTTACATCTCTCCATCTATATGTATAAAAGCCTAAGCAACCTTTCAACTGTCCAATGGGTAGCTATGACACTCTGACCAGTAGCTATGATGCACACTGACCACCAGGTGGCAGATGCTCAATGCAGGAGCTGCTAAGCTGTGGTTATTTGGCAGCTGTGGTTCTCAGGTGACACACGCGGAACCAGAGAGGAGGGAGCCTGATTCTGAGGTGCGTCATCCAAGAACCACCCTCTAGCAATCTGGGACCCCTTGGGGGATGTGGGAGAGCTGGTTTTGGCCTGATCCCCACAAGCCAGGCCAAGGGACCCCACTAGTGCACAAATCCATGCACTGGGCCTCTGGTCTTATCATAAAAATGTTGTTCACATTTTAAAAAATGAGTATGTTGTTTTCTAGAAAGCATACTCTATTCTGGAAATCACAGATAACATAGAAGGGTGTGTATAGAGAACTCTGGAAATGAAAGCCTAAAAAAGAGTAAAGACATGGAAAGGTACTATTCCACAGACGATAGAAAGTTATTCTGGTAAGTTATAGACCCAGGTCACTATAAGTGATGTTAGCAGCGGTGTAGAAAGTCACATGCTTGTGATCCATTCCTTATACTATATGTCCATTCATTTCCATGGACATAGTGGAAAGATTAAAAATAAAGCATCATGGAAGAAGAAATAGGATCTGAACAACTTAAAACTCTTGTTTTACACCTTTCAAACAAATCCAACATTGGTAAAAATCCTCTAAAGCTTACTATAACCTTTAAAATAAAGTTCATATAGGAAGCCTGCATTTTTTATTATGTTTCTTGTAATATTAAGATCCAGAAAATGAATTAAGGGAAACAGTATCACTTTTTTTTCACAGGGAGAAATAAACAAATCTGAAATACCTGTGGGCATCTGGCAGCACTGTAGCAATCTCCAGCCGTGGCAAAAGGAACTGCTTTTCCAAATACTGTCTGAGCAAATAGAAGGTCTGTAGCTAGAATGCAATATATAAAACTCTTTAGCAATGAGACACTATACGTTTTCCAATCTTCATTGCAAAACATAGTATTCATATCATCTTCTTAAATACATTTTATAATTCAAAAATTTAAGCAAAAATGCTATCCAATTATAGATAAGGCTTCTCAATAATATCTTCTTTTTTTTTTAGAGAGAGAGAGAAACATTGATTGGCTGCCTCCTGCACATACCCCAACCAGGGACTGAACCTGCAACCTGGGCATCTGCCATGTCCAGGCACTGAACCAGTGATCCTTTGGTGTATAGGATGATGCTCAACCAACTGAGCCACACCAGCCAGGGCAAATAATTTTTCTTTAATACAAAAATGTTTATCCCATAAATTTCCCTAAAAAATGGCAGGCACATCTGAAACTAAGCCAGAAGTATTTTTCTTTTTTTAATATGTTTCTATTGATTTCAGAGAGGAAGGGAGAGAACAGAAACATCAATGATGAGAATCACAATTGGCTGCCTCCTGCACTCCTCCTACTGGGGATCCTGAAACCTGGGCATATGCCCTGCCAGGGAATTGAACCCTGACCTAATTTATGTCAATGCTCAACCACTGCGCCACACCGGCCGGGCAGAACCAGAAGTTATTTAAACTAACTAAGTGCTTTATTATATTGTACATCATAGTGAATATCTAAGATAGATAAAGTAAGGTCAGGAGCAAAAATTACAGGTTTTGATTACCATATTTAAAGGTAAATACATTATTACAAAGCAA